TATTTCAAAATTGAAGTTATCATATGACAAATATTCAGTGGACAAAGTTTGAGCAAAAATCTATTGTCACTTTTATTTCAGAGGAATTACCTTAAGTTCACCTCATAATATCAAGGGCGCATCAAGGATACTCATTCATAACAGGTGTTATAGGTTACAGCCCCTAAAGACAGCCCTGCCAGGCACCTGTGAAAATCTGCACCTTGAATAAAATTTATTTCACTTGCTAAGTCACATATCACTTCACTTAATAACCACAGTGAAGGATGCAACCACATGTTGTAAATCACCTCACAGTTATAAATTGTCAAGGCTCATACAAGCGTTAACAAAAACTATGTTTAAGCCTTCCATGTGTGATTGTTTTGAAATCAACATTAGCAATATTAAAACATGACATTTCGTCAATGACATGTCACCATTTTCTTCATCATTATTACTATCATTATCATTGTATTATAATGATGACGTGTGCTGAAACATCATGTTTTAATATTCCAACCGCTTGTTTTAAAATGTTTTTGTGAAGTCTTTCGTTATTACATGTGATTGCTGGTTTTATTTTGTGGGATCTTGATAAACCAAGGTGTTTGCAGTTCCTTTAAGGATCTGGAAAGACCTTACTAAAGGATCTTTATAAAAATCCTAAAAAGTCTTTGGAATTTTTATTTAAGATATTTGTTTCTTTGTCTCTATATGAACCTTACAAAAGGATCTTTGCAGGATTCTTGAGCATCTTATTTTGGCAGGATTCTATGAACATAGGATCTTAAATAGGATCCTACTTGTAAGATCTCAAATATAGGACATTTTACTCAATGACATTGGTTGTATACTGTGTAACTTGCAAAATATCCATGCATATTATATGTTAAACCAATGAATAAGGTGTTCATGAATACATGTACAGATACCTCTACTTCGTGATCTAAACCTTACATTTTACTTCTTGTTTAGAGTGGAGAAGATTACTTGAGCAGTAGAGAGGCGTTAGTAATGATCACAAAAGATAATGAAAAATACAAGTGTATATTACCCCAAGATGAACTACCTAAACAGGTATGTTTTATAAAACATTTTATATTAAAATAGAAACAGGAAGCCAAAAAACATTATGCCACTTGTAAAGATGTTAGCTGGATCATTAAAAGCAGCTTGAAGAGAGGGGAAAGAAGGAGGGACCTGTANTAATGCCAAATCTAAAGAGTGATGAAAAAAAAAACAAAGTTGTAGTTTCAAGCTTTTAGCCCAAAACTGAAAAGCAAAACAGGATTCACGTTTGCGACTTTCATGCAAGACGATCTACATGTACTATACATGTACAGTAATCTAGGCGAGAAATTAATTAATATAGACTGTCAGTGTGGTTATGCTTACAGTTATTTACATGTAAATGAGAACATGTGGTTGTTTATCCTGCAGTTAGATGCGTATTGGACATATGAGCTCTGTCATGGGAGACACATTAAACAGTTCCATGAATTAAAAGCTGGTGTTCCGGTTTGTATCCTTGAGATGTTCACTTCTCTTTCAATCAGTGACTGTAATGACAGCTTTTAAATACTGTACAGTCATGTAGTTTTCACTCGAGTGTCAAAAGAAGTTCATTCTCATTTGCTTTGGGTTTGCATTATTACACTAAACATTTGGCTAAAATATAAATTAAATTAGGCCAAAACTAATCTTGATTTGCTGCCACATGTTTTCTTGTGCTTCTGATCTTCTCTATGTCATTTCTTTGAGTCTTCACTGGTTCACTGGATTGTCTGTGTCCTCTCACCTCTGTGATGGGCTAGAGAGATAACTTGGTTCTGTTTTTATGACAGTCAATTAAGTTTTATGACACTCATTTTACACAATACTGGTACACTATATCTTAATACAAACAGTACATGTAAAGTATGTGTAGTCTGAGCTCAAATTCTAGTGTATATATACAAATGAGCCTCAAGTGAAACACTTCACCTCCACATCAAGAGTAGGTAGGTGTGTGAAACACTTTAAAAACTCTTCAAAGTATGCAGCAACACTATACTATGAACGTTTAATCACTGATAATTATGTATGTTTGGTTACATTTTAGGATTCCAAAACACAGGAATATTACCTAGGAAGAATGGAACCAAGAGTGCTAGATGAGAAGCCTCCAGGTATGGAATTAATTAAAACTGTTAGTTATGGAAGTGCATTTTTTTATTCCTAATTTAGGCCAATTAGAATTTTCGTAGAATGTGTAGGTCTGTATTCACCTCTAGTTAGGAGGGGGCAGTGGGAGGGGGGGGGGGATAGAGGGTTGAGAAATTACAAATTATAATTATCTTGGCCTGAATGACTCATACTGTAGCTGGCTTTATGCTTAGTGACCAACATTTAGTGGGGTTCACTTAGCAGTAAAGCAGATACAGTTAAAATTACAGACACCTCCTTCATACAGGCACCAAGCTATATAACGAAAAGCTCTGCTGCTCCTAGAGAAACCAGAATTCACATAATTACAGTAGCCTCCATGTGAACCTCTATAATAACACTTCCATAATGAGGGCACTCAAGGCAGTTCCAATATAAATGACATGCATACCGGTTTGGCACAGATAAATTCTATGGTGTAAATGACTTTTTCTTATCAGTGCGGAGCCAAAATTACAATAACACTAAAGGTTGTCTGGGCACAGGTGAAGTTTTGGCTCTGCACAGATGAGGAAATGTTATTAACTTTGCACAACAAAGTTTATACCATGTTTCTGGCACCCATACCATTTTTATTAGAGCAGTACCAAGGATGCTTTTGTCTTGCAAATGGGCCTTCATTTCAGTGCCTTTGGTGGTAGTGTTACTGTAAAGATGTTTGACTGTGTTTGACGGACTGTGTGTGTATACACTATGTTTACAGTGGAACTGGCCACAAACAGATACCATTAGGAGCTGTAGTGTCTGCTAAGAACAGGGCTTTGTACATGTAGAAGAATTCATTTGTTATTATTTGGCTGGGACCAAGACATAGTGATAGTGTCTTACCACGGGAGGCATGCAGGGGTTTTATTAGTGTTTTCTGCAAGAGAGCAACTGGTTTTCACGGGCCAGCAAAACTTTTTCTCTATTAAATAAGAAAAACTTTCCTCAGATGGTCAAACCAGGTGGGCAAGACCAGGAAGAGCTTTCATCAATACATATTAATTTTTATTCATGTATGTAAATAGTTAAGTTTCTAAACTCTAAATGACACAATGATTCTTGACTAATAATATATCTCTAGCAGAACACAAAGTTGATGCACCTCCTACTGAAGGAACAGAGTCCAGCAAGGATGTATGTCTTAGTGTAATCCTGTTTTCTATTTATTCTATATTACTCAATTGTCTGATTTTAATTTGCAAATCATATTGCAACTGGCCTTGAAAGTTTGGTTTGGTAGTGCAGCTTTGCATACTATAATGCAATATGAAGAATTACAATGAAATGTGAAATTGAAAGACCCTGGCCAAGGCTTGAACCTCTAACTCTCAACCCATGGGACTCAGAGACATTTATTGTATACTTACTATAAAGCCACTGGGCCTGCCATTGACTGTCAAATTGTCATTAAATTGTTCCAATTCTGATGCCCTGGTGCAACTGTGGCACATGTTGGTCAGCTTATAATTTAACAAGTAATGCATCAGTAATGTACATTGACCCTTGTCTCGTTTGCATTCATTTGGTTTGATCATAATTACATTCTAAATACAGTTTGGCGTTCTCTGTCTTTATTAGATGGCTTGTGTTTTTAGCTGAGATAATGCACGCTCTGCTTGGCCAATTCTAGGGCATCATTCTCCTGTAATGCCTGCGGGCCGATTACAGGCCTGCAAAAACCAAGCAAAAAAACTATATCATGATCAACTCATTAGCCTTTCAAGAATGTTTGGTCTTTACTCTGAAAAATTTCAAGCCTTGGCATTACTCTACAACTGACCTAGCTTGCCTATTGCTTGGTCAATATGGCAAGGTAGACCTCGGTTTGAGATTTACTCGTAGAGACCTCACTCTCGGAACTTACTATTATTTTTTAATGCATCTACACAGGTTCCGACTCGCAAGATCAATGGCCATGTTTTTCCTTACTACAAAGTGACAATGGATGATGGAACTCCATGTGATTTGCTTAACAATAAACCTCGAGTGACAAGTGTTCTGTACATGTGTGCTCCAAGATCAAGTAATGAGGTAAGATAATGACACAAAGACAATAGTAAACTTGCAATGCTGTCAGTATCTTAACAATAACAATGACAATGACAATGACAATGACAATGACAAGGACAGTCACAGTCACAATGACAATAACAATTACAATGACAATAACAACGATAATTTTAATAGTAATGATTTAATAACTTCTAGAGCGCTATTTACGTTTACTGATCAACAGCGCTTTACAAATTCAATTACTACAAAATTCAAAATTGTAAAACTAATTGCATGTATCTTCTCTACAGACGCATTATTTTAATTTTGTTGAGTATTTTCTTTCGACATTTTTGTGATAGATTGTTTCTGTAAAGGAAGTACAAACATGTCAGTATGAAGTGGAAGTGTTCACGCCATTGATTTGCGCTAACCCAGCATACAGGTTAGTTGTTACGTGTATTTAAGAATAATATAATACATGTGTCAGGACTGGAAACTACAATTCATTGGTCAGCAATGCGACCAAAAATTGAGTGTTGGCAACTGGTCAGATATCAAGGGCTGGTCACCAGTGGGCTACTCACCCTTCATCCATCAACCTTTCAACCTCAAAGGAAAATCGACCTTACTTGCGGATGAATTACATGTACCTATATAGCCCGTGTAAGGGAGTACTACCCCCTCCACCCCCCAAGATGAAAGATACGATTTATGTGAATAGATATAACAAAAGAAATCCAAGAAATCCATGACTCTTTGATCGTCGACCGGATAGCCTTGTTTGAATCACGCGGCAGTTTCTTTATTACGAGGTGTCGTGGGTGCACTAAAGAAAGCAAGCACGGAGCCTCGTACTGCTACCAACTACGTGGCAGAGCAGGGGCCTAATTCCAATATGCCTGTCAACTGCACAAAGCCTTGGTATAGCTCCAAAAATTGCATAGAGGTGAAACTAGATGAGGAAGAAGAGGAAGCACAAATAACGTAACTGAAGTTGCTTTCACATTGATCAGGATTATTTCGGAATGTTGCTTTTACATGGCACTGTTCTAACTTCCTTTAAAACTTAATTATATAACATACAATGTATATTGTATTGAAACTTAGAATTATGTCGAAGATTGTGTATATCAGAAAAATAAGTTGCAGAAGAAGAAAAAATCAGTGAGAAAAAGGTGACGAAACACTATGATCTGGTGACCAAAAGTTTGGGATTAGTTGCCAGTTGGCTCCTTATTAATGAGAAAGTTAATTTCGAACCCTGTGTATTTCTTTGTATCTTTTGCTATTACTCATTTTCCGAATTTTAATAAAGAATATCACGAAGCCCTTGAGTTTCAATTGCCACAGCACTCTTTTGGTGCCGATGATTGTACAATATAGCTGGTGTTTGTTTGTTTTTTTTCTCGGCTTATGTAATAATTATAAATATTCTTTTCCTTATTTCAGTTATCGCGATAAGCCTGTTCGTCACATCAGTTGTCACTCTTTAGACGGTTCTCCAGAGTAAGTCAATGGTCCATTTCTTTAATATATTTTCAAGTTTCTTGTCTCTTTTAGCATTAAATGATCGAACTACCTTTCAGTGAACAGTACATGTACGGTACCTTATGTTTATTGTTGCTAACTACAAATACAGTTCATGCTATATATCTGTGTTCAAGGTTTCCAAATACGTTTTGTAAAAACCTATCATGGAACTTACAAAATTGACCAGCCATATAGTACAGCCAAACCAAGTTCAAGCTGTGAAGCAGCTATCATATTGCCCAAAACTGATCATGGAACGAGATGACTGTTTATTAGTGGATAGGTATACTTTCGAAAGCTCTTTTATTTAGTAACATACTTCACTTTATTTAGCAGAGAGATACATGTAGTAAGTGAGCAAAGTATTTTTGATATCAAGTTTATAGTAGTGCTTCTTTTTCCTAAAACACCTCGCAAATATCCCCATAATAATTGCTGGCTGTGGCCACTATTTCTTTGTACAATGTAGCGTACTCACTGCTGTAAAAACCTGATAGTTCTTGTGTATAATCCACAACTTACTGAAGAACCTTGTTGCTGAATTTTCCTGATTTGTTGGTTTCAGCGAGCCCCGAAGTTATTCTGCACTAATGGAAGAAAAATTTGGATTAGAAGGATTTGTGTTTAGAGAGGTCAGTTTCTTTGTAAGAACATACATGTAGACCTATCTGGTATGGCATGTGTTAATCGGGTGACCAACAGGCCACAAAAAGTCTGGTCATAGTACAGGGTGGCGAATGGTAAATGCGAGACTTTGCGAGACGGCGAGACAAGCGTTTTTCTCTGCGAGCCCGAGACAGTTTGACGTTTTCGATTGCGAGACCGAGACTTCAAAGTGTTTTGTGTGCGAGCGCAAAACTTTCAGACTCTTAAAATTCGAGCCCAGATTTAGTTGAGAGCTAGAATGAGCTTGCACAGCCTTTTAGCCAGCTTCTTCGAACTGGCTGGAACTGGAAATTTGATTATAACACGCTACGTTGTGATATCTTAGAACAAAATAACTGTTTTTCTGGCGCCAAAACAGACGTTGCGGTAGGTTTTGTAGCTTTTTGTAGAATTCAGACAATTTAGAAGATGGAAGTTAGGATTAACTTTTTCTCGGAAATTTGTAAGTTGCTTCTTTGAAATTCAATATCAAGGGACGAGAAGGCGTCATTTATAAAAACAGGTAAACGAACGAATCGGCCCTTTGAGACCCTTAGCCTTGCGAAAAATCGAGACTCCGAGAATGCGAGACGCACATCACCGCTAAAAATACGAGACCGCGAGACCCGTGAAATTTGACTAAAATTTTGCGAGGCTCAGAGTTTTTGAGGACCATTCGCCACCCCTTAACAAGGTGGCCGTATTTAAGGGGTCCTTTAAATAAGAAAATGACTGACTGAGCTTTTCTTCGGCCCAGAATAAAGTGGCTGTAATAACAAGGGATTCCACTGTATCTACTTGTCGTCGTAGCTGTACCTACTTGTAGTGGAAGCGACAGTATTATATTGTTACTCATGCAGTAATGGTTGTCATCCTTTCCTTTTTCGTCATTCCAGGTCCCAGAGGAAGATCACAGCACACCAGCTCCAAACGATGGACACAGAGACATGCCCCCTCAGCCAGATCACGGTCTAACCTCTTCCTTCCTGCGAGGAGATTACTGTCTAGTTGGGGTGAGTGTGCATTTCATCATGAACGAACATTGGGTATTCTTTAACCTCTTTTTCTTTTTCCTTTGACTTCCAAACAAAAAACAAACAACAACAACAACACGGTGTACGAAAGGTTGACTTCCAGTGGAGCCAGGTAGTTTAATGGGTATAAGGACGAGGCAAAATTAAGAAGAGGGTGTGGGGCTGGGGGTGGGTGGGGTGGGGTGGTGTTGTTACCAGGATGTCAGGAGTTTCATTAATGCTTTCAGCAGGAAGTCAACTGGTTTTCACTGGCGGGCAGAATTTTTTGAGCCAAACTTCCTTACGAGAACACTTTCCTCTAGATGCTCAAACCAGGCAGGCAAAATTAACCTCACAGCCAGTCAATTTGCCAGGTGCCCGGCCCGTAACGAAACCCCTGAATTTGGCTGAGAAAACACCAAACACACTCATTTGGGAAGCCCAGCTGGCTTTTCTGGCTTAGGCGTCTTCAAAATTACCCCATGTCTTTATGTTCTAATGATATTTCAGCTGGGTGTGAGCTGTTTTTCAACCAGTGAAATCAGGCGATAGCCAGCGTTTACATATAACTCTGTCTCTGTTGTTAACCAATTGCCAATTTACTTAGTTAAGGTAAATTGATGTCGTTTTGTGCTTCCTTACAGGGTGGCTCCGGTTGGTGGAAATATGAATTTTGTTATGGGAAGCATGTTATGCAGTTTCATAAAGAGGTAGGACAACACAGAAAACATTTTTACATGATTAACTTTTTACAAGACACTGAAAAATTGTTGGAAATCCGTTCAAGCTTTTTTTGTTTGTTTTTGTCAGGATCGTGGACCCAGGTTGAACATTCTCCTTGGAAAATGGGTCAAAGAGGTGAGCTTAATTTATAACTTCACAAACGAGAAGTTCAATCTGTAACGCAGAGTGTATAATCATAATTTTTTATTCAGTTAATTATGCGATGTAAAATGGATGTGGCCTGGCTGATGCCAAGTTGTAAGGTACCCGCCAAAACAAAAATAGCGGCTGACAAAAAAACTTTGAATTCCCCGTTTCTTCTACCATATAATATTGAGCTACGAATTTAGGTCTGTAGAGCCGAAAGACGTTTTTTGATGAAACGAATACGCTAGGAAAAAATTGTCTATAGCTAGAAAGTGGCGTCATCTAGCCTCTTAAACATGCCTTGAAGCATGCATTTTCTCTCAAATTCTAGGCTCATATTAACTGGAAAAAGGAGAAATATACAGGTCAAACAGGGTAAGATTTGTTTGTGTGTTTTCAATAGCCTTAGGGCCAAGGAAACAGTACCTAGTGCTTTTCAGTGCCTAGAAAATAGTTGCTCTGGTGTTTTTATTATTTCTGCTAATCTACAGTGCTTCTATCATTTGGATGGTCACACATTAGGGTCTCATCCACAGACTAGGTTAAAACCACCTTGTACAGGATAGCAAACAGTACCACATGAAGGTACTGCTCAATAGCTTTCATTTGAATGGTCACACACTAGGGTTTCATCCACAGACTTAAAAGTTAGAACCATCTTGTACAGCATAATAAACAGTACCACATGAAAGTACTGCTCAATAGCTTTCATTTGAATGGTCACACACTAGGGTTTTATCCACAGACTTTAAGTTAAAACCAACTTACTCAGCATAATAAACAGTACCACGTGGAAGTACTGCTCAATAGCCTTGTTTGGATCGTTCCACACTAGGGTTTCATCAACGACTTACGATAACTCTATTGAAAACGAAGGAACATTTAAAATTTGCTTAACCTCGTTTCAATTATAATTATGCCATCAATATTAAAAAAAATGCAACAAAAAACGGATTTTACGGTGTTCTTGTTTGTTTTGTTTTGGTTTGGTTTGGTTTGGTTTGGTTTGGTTTGGTTTGGTTAGGTTTGCGTTGCGTTGCATTGTGTGTGTTTTTGCATTGTAGATGGCCGGTATGGTAACTATATGACCCGAAATCCGTTTTTATTAGCGGATCCGTAAGGGGATCAGTAATCAGAAAGGGAAACTACATATGTGAGCTGTGGTGGTCGAAACTTGTTTTAATCTTTTTCTACCATGTTTATCTTTTCAGCTACACTGATCATTTCTATAGCGCTGGAGATGTTTGCGACTTAACAGGAAAACCTAGACACGTCCAAGTTAGGTTAAAGTACGTGAACAACCTTCTGGTAAAAAAAAAAAAACATTACCTGAAGGACTTGACTTTAGTAATACAACTTTTCGGCGCACGTGAACCAAATGGTTACATGCTGTCATGGCAGTGCTCAGCGTTCGCGCTTGGTAATTGGGGAAAAAGAAAAAGTAGACTTGGAGTAGTCCCTCTTTCACTTAGTCTGTCGAGCGTGACCGCTAATAATAAACTTCGAGGGAAAAACGCGCGAAATCCAGGGGACGAGAAGCTCGCGCGCGTTTCTTGCTCCCAGGATTTGGCGCGGCCATTGCCATTTTTTTCTCGCAGTTTTCTTTCGCGTCACACACGGCGGACTAAGCGAATGAGGGACTACTCGTAGTCTAAAGAATAAGAAAAAATCCACTCGCTCAAGAATCAAGCAGCCGCAGACAGCTGTTTTGGTCTTGTTTGGACACCTTTACTTTAAGGCAGCGTGCACACTAATCCGAAGAAATTTGAAAACGCAGTTTTATTTCTACGGTCAGGCTTCTACGGTTAGGCCTACCGTCTATACTAATCCATCACAAAAACCGAGCTTTTCGAAAACGTTCCTCAAACCGGAGAAATTTGAAAATGCCTGCTTTTCGTTTTCGTGTGGTCGGAAAACATTTTGAAAACGGGGATTTTTGAAAACGATGACCTCACGATATTTATGACCGAGTTTTTCTCAAACACAAATCCAGAATGACCGGTGATTGTTGCGTGTTTAAATTTCTCCGGCGTATTGTAGACAGAAAACATTAGATGCGTTTTCAAAGAGAAATCTTCGTCCAATTTCTCTAGTGTAGTGTGGCCGGGGGGCCTCCGACGAAGTTCTGTTTGTTTATAACTTGCATATTCTTTTGCAGATGTAAAGAGTCGAATCATTTACAAGAATTCGCCCTTTCATTAACAGAGCCCAGCGCTTGTGAATATGTTCTAAGGGTAAGGTCATGAGTAACAATTTTAAAGGGAACTTCAACAAGACGCGGAAAAATAACTGGACAAAAAGATAATTTGAATGCAGTCATTTGTTTTGTGAGCCTTGTTTCAACCAAGGCAGACTATATAGTTATTTCAGTTGGAACAAATTGTTGTTTGGCTTATTTTGTGTAGAATCATTCCAAGAATTTTTCAATTTGTATACAAATTGAAACAAATTTAAACAACATCAACAACAAAAACAAAATGAGAGCATTTGCCATTGTTCTGAAATTTAACTCGTTAGTATGACGTCATGTTGCTAGGCAACTACTTTGATGAAAACCACAGGCCAACTGTCAGCTGCTCACTCTTGGCATTTCCTAAGATGGAAAAGAAAAACCTTTCTAACAGAGATAGACAAAAAAATCAGTTGTTATTTTCTTTGCAGGTCGAATCTCCAATTATTTGTCCTTTACTGCAAAAATTGGATGAGGATGGCTTATTTCAAGAGGAAGAATCATGAAAAATTTCCTTACAACTTCACGGGTATACAGCCTTAGTATTAAGTGACGTTTTTAGCTATTTAATGGAAGGTTGTCGTGCTGTGTCCCTGTCTGCCTAAGATAGCGTTCGGTGAAGAAATTTTGTAAAACATACCAGTTTAGATAGACAAAACTTTTTTTATCTATTGAAGAGTTAAAGATCACCTGGTTTTCTGTGGGTGAAATGTTTCTAACTAATGTATAGTAATGTGGTGCTCTGTTTTGAAACGAATTGCATCATTGCTAGTCGCCGAAAGCCCGGTGACTGACGCTTCTTCGGCTTACCTTCGGTTTACCTTCGGTTTCCGTATTAGTGACGTCATTTCACAACAAAATGAAGTAATCAGTTCCAAAGTCAAAAATGACACGGGCAAACGTCCTTCTATAACCCTCTATTTACGTCGTTTTAACGTGTCCATAGCGTCAGTGTTAAACGGAACTTCGAATGTGTATCACTGAATTTTAAATTCCGCCTTCACAAATCCACCCTCTTGGATTTTATTTTAAAAGTTGATTATGCCGTGAGAGTGTCAATGCTAAAACTGAAGTGAACTCAACAAAATATCTGTGTAAGCAATGTTGAAAATGTTGAAAAAGTTTGGGCATGAATTATATTTTTATTGATAGGCCATACACATACGTATCAATTATTCGACGAAATAAAGCAAAAGCAAGGCTAGATTTGACTTTGCTCTGATACAGTCCTTGCTATTTTACAAATCTAAATTATTTGGTTATCATGCTAACTTCTTACTACCATGACATTGTCAACCCAGACCTCGTTTTCATGACGAGGCTCGGTTCTATTTCAAAGAACTATGAAATGGACTATTGTGTGCTTGTATGCTGGAGGCAGTAAGCAGTTGAGTGAGGTTTGAGACTCTCACTACAGCTATAGTTTGTTATTACTGATTTATAGTTCGTCCAGCAAGCTTGTGTTTCATAGCTTTTAACAGCTAGCAATTCAAATTGAAATGTAAAGCGCTCTTAGCTAGTAATGTACGGGTGTAGAATATCATTCACAGCAATGGCACCGGTTACGGTAATGCGCATGCGCTGGGTATTATGTGTAGTTACTTAATGATTGGTCCGTCGACCAATCAAAAGAATGGGAGAAAATAAATGGTAGTAGTTAGATTTCATTGTTACATCCAATCCTCGCTTTAGTCCGAAACTAGTTAAATGTAGTCTTGGTAAGTCAGTAAACCTTTAGTTTCTCAGGGTATCTCTGTCTGCTCTATAAATGCAACTGCTATCAATGGAGACCC